AAGTATCTGTTGCAGGGAAGAAGTTCGGACAACAACTTCGCAGTGAGGGCGGTCGAAGGATCTTTGTCCCGATCGAGAACCAGTCAACCGGGGTGGGTTCTTCAAATCTTGCCTCCATGATCGCAAATTGATTCTTGCTGTAACTGAGTACAATTTTCTTCCTGAATGAAGTTTGAGAAAGGTGTAAAAAAGTAGCAGCAACTGAGAAGATAGAGAGAGAGAAAGGCGGGATGGGGGTTATGTCCAGGCGGGTGCTTCACGTCTGCGGTAGTATCTGTTGCGTATGTCCAGCTTTGAGGGCGAGATCCCGACAACCTGTGAAATGATACAAAAAGCTTATTTCTAATATCTTTCCTCGCTCTCAGGTTAATATCCTAGTTTGATGTTCTTTTCTGCATGATTGCATGATGTAATTCTTTGGTTTTGATGTAATTCTTTGGTTTACCTTGTTATTTATATAGAATTGGAACAAGTTGCGCTTTTTATAAGCAAAATTGATTGGCGTTCTTATATGTTACTTAGGTGTTATGTTTGATGCTATCTAGATCAGTGTTGTATGGATAATAAAGTTATTTGAATAACAATAAGTGATAAACCAAAATAATATATTGTTTTAAGTACATATTTTATGCTTATTTTTTGTGATATTGCACTTTAAAGAAGAATATTTTCATGTTTTTGTTGCAGATATATTATTTTTAGGTACCTAGAGCAAAAATGACAAAAAGGACAAAATTTGGAGCAAAAACAACGAATTTTAGAATTCTGGCGCATGATGCGCCGTTTGAGAGGCTTGGCGAATGATGCGCCATAAACGACCTTTTGCGGATTAAGGAGGTTCGAGACGAATTTTGCGCGAATTTTCAAAGGGACACTTGTTTTACACACCTATTGGAGTAATTTAATGCATCTAGACACTTTGGAAGGTTCTTTTATGAAGATATATGTCTCTTGGATCAAATGACACATCTTTTGAATTCAAAAAAGTTGACTTTTGGAGGGAATTTTGAATTCCTTTTGAAAGGAGACAACCTAAGATAAAAGAGGAAGATTTTAAGGAGTTGAAGGGGGAACGAAAAGGACAACAAAGTGGGGGTGGCGTGAAAGGCAAGGAGAGAAGAAGAGGAAATTTTATTCTAGGGTTGTAAGATGAGAGGGAAGGTAAGAGATTTCTTCTTCATTATACTTCTAAGAGAGAATTGAGTGTGCTTGTAAAGAGAGAGGCTTGGAGAGAACTTCTAGAGATTTGCTTGAAAATGATTGGGAGATAAATTGTGTCTTTTATTTCTTTTGTTTTGTAAACTTATTTTTATTTATGAAATTCGTGTTTTGTCGTATCCTTTTCATGAATTCTGAGTAGTCATCTTTATTCTTCTCTCTACTTTGAGATATGGTTTTGTGAAGAATTGATTTTATTTTCTATAATTTTAAATGTTAATAATTTGTGATGATTTGAACTCCGATCTTCATTTACTTTTCGATTTGGCCAATTAAAATGTTAAAACATGTTGAGAAACACATGTTTTGAAAAAGGTTATGAATTCTACAATAGGGGAAAAATCACATTTGACTTCATAGGAGAGTATGTTATCCATGAAATTGAGTGCAAATAAATAGAGAAATATACTTTGTTGAATGCAAAATTGATGATTTTAAGGTGACAGATTAAAATCTCAATTTGGTACAGTTAGTTGGAAACTAATGCGAGATTGTTAGCCCTCAGGGGAGGGAATAGTGGGAGCTCTGGAGTGTCAGCCGGTATCATCCCAATCTAACCACGAAATTAGGGACTAAATTTTGGATTAGTCAATGTTCTTTATAGCACTTGGAAGAGTGCAAAAAATAAGATTGCTTCTATTTGACACAAAACAAATTGTATATATATATTTTCAAATGATTTTAATTTCTTCACAATCCATATACTCGTTGTAAAGGGGAATGATGATTTCTTAAATTTGAATCTTCGATCAACAAAAACTTTGTTTAGTTTTCGTAATTTTACTTTTGAAAGTTTAGTTTTTAGTTAGTCAACTCTGTCTTTCAACTGCATTTTATATTGCATTCACCTTAGTAGTTAATATTCAAACTTCGCACTTTACCTTTATTTGTATATTTTTAAATTCTAAAATAATTTTAAGAATTTACTTATAGGTTTTTCTAACGTCCCTGTGAGATCGATATCTAAGACTCCATTAGAGCCATTTATTACTTGAGCGATATGTATGCTTGCGTTGATTTTAAAAGGGATTTGACAGTTTAAAAAGAGTTTTAAAAATAAATTATTTTCATAAAAGGTATTTTTGTTGGGATTATATTGCATGTTTATTGTTATATCTGTCGTGTGTATTTTGTAATATTGAAAGATATTTGCAAAATTTACGCACTAAATCTACCGGCATCAATAGGGTCCATCGAATGCAGCACTCAGTTTAATGCTACCTTATTTAAAAAAAATGTAAATATTATCTGGAGTGATCAAAGATTTTTACGTTGTTTATATGTTGTCATTTTTCACAGCCGACATATTTAGCTGATTTTTTGATGTTACCAGAACAAAATTTATGTCATTTGTGAAATTATTTTTTGAAGATATTGCCAAACCAAACAAATGTTTTCTCCAAATAGGATAACATTGCCCCCTTAAGCAGTATAGTTTTCCTCTTAGGGCATGATCTATTACCGTCAAAATATTTATTCCTTTTTTTTTAGGTACAAATGCTTCTAGAGAATCCTATTTTGTCAGACATATGTAAAGTCTAGGACACCATGTCAGATTCACCATTTGACATGTCATGTTTTTTAATTTCCGCAAGTTTAACACACCCGTTAGACCTTTTTAGAGACCTCTTGACATATCATCAATATGAGAGACATATATTACAAATGACCTATGCCACTTTGATCATGAGAGCATGGTTCATCATATTTTATTTAAGTCTTCTTAGTAACTACTTCGATATTTAAGTGGTGATACCTATGATGGTACTGCCATAGTATACACATTTTTTTGTGCTTGCTTCATAAGCCAACCTTTTTTTGAATATCAAAAAAGGAGAAAACATAAGTTGAGGAAATAAAATTGAAGAAAAGAAACGAATTCAACACGTTAAACATAATAGAATGCTATGGGGTTTTCTAGATTCTCGACGACTATAATCATTTGAGCCAACTTTGCTTCTCACACACACACACACACAAACACACACACATGCTTTTTTTTTTAGGTTTATTGGTACCCACTCTTAAGTGAGTGTATATCCTTTTTTTTGTACTGTTATGAGGTGAGTTTTTTGGTTCTAAACTATCAAATATATAGTCATGACAGTTCTGTTGCAAACAACACAACTGCACAGTGGCAGAATGATCATTTATCCAGAAACAACTACAAATCAGTTGTTTTCCAAACGCACAAACAAAACAGCTAGCCAGCTTATCTAAATCAGTGGTAGAATGATCATTTATCCAGAAACAACTGCAAATCAACTGTTTTGCACAAGCCAAATAGTCAGTCAGCTTATCTGGATCAGCTGCTGATCAACAACTTATGAAGATAAATTGCTTATCTGGATAAGCTGCAGCTGCCCCAAACAGATCCTTAGTTATTTTGAGTCAGGCAAGTCGAGCACGAACGAACAAATATTTATTCATGTTCGGCTCGTTTATAAATCGAGCCCAAAAATATTTGTATTATTTATTTATTATTGCATTATTTAAGTAATATTTAATTAATTTTTAAATTTATATCGTGATTTGGTTCAACCCTGGTCGAATCAATGAATCTTGAACTTTTTCTTTACCAATTTGATGTTCCGTCTAATTTTCACAATGTTGGGATTTACTATTGGATTTAATAAATTCAGTCAAACATTGAAATGTTGGAGTTTTGTGATTTATGAATTTTCAAATTTAGGGTTCCAAATTTTACATTCGATTGAACTTAATTTCGGATTTACTAAATCCCACAGTAGGGTGGATTTAACTGATTTATGAATTACAAATTTACTAAATCTCACTAACACTAAATCCTACTTGCAGCCAAAAACCCCCTGAATCTTTCATTTCACAACGTTTTGGTATATATTTTTTTCATTATATGTCTTCAGTAATAGTAAATGAATGTGAAGTTATTCTATATTATTTTTCACTGACAATAAGTTATTACATGAGTAGTGCTTGTGTGTGCGCTCGTGTATTGGTAAGCAATTGGTTTTATACATTATTTTAAAGAATTTTCATGACACGGGTTGTGTCTGAATTAATGCATCATCCATAACATTTCATTCTAGTGGCGTTATCTTTTTTTTCCTGATTAGGATTATCTTTGTTGGGGATCACAATTGCTTATATAATTAATCTTCTGCACTCAAGGTACATATTTGTTTCTATAAGGATGCGACGTGTTAATCAGCTTAACCATTGAAGTTTTATGAACATTTTAACCAAGAATATGAGTTTTTTAGGACAATTTGTCTGCTGATTTAACTTGCCTTTGATGATATAATGATATCATACAATGAAAATGCTTACTGACCTAGTGACAGAAGTCCATTTTAGTTGAAGATTAAATGTTTGATTACCTCATAATTTTTGAGTATAATGAAGGTTTGGTTTCTGGAAAATACATTTTTTCTGCAGTTTTCTTGGTCAATTGGATGTGATCTTGGATCAAGTTCTAGTGTTCTATATTTTCCTAAAAAAATATATATGAAGCTGTTTCATTGATCAAGATTGCTATTTTGAAGACATTTTTGATAATAAAGAACTTCCATTTCCTAAAAAAAAAGAAGATAAAGAAAGCTGCGTAAGTGGAGTTGCTTGTTTTTAACGTTAACTGCCATAGCTGCTACATAAGGTTTATGACCTAAATTATGCAATGCATGCTATACTGCACGAAGACTGTTGTTCAAAAGTGTTAAGTTACATTTTTACAAAACCTTAAATATCAATTATGGTTGTGTTTTCTAAGATACTGTTGATCAGTGTTTTTCCTCCAAATTCAGCGGCTGGAGCTGGACTTTCAGGAAGCAAAATGGCAAGACGAATTGGGGATGTTGAAGAATTTGAGTTTAAAACTGTTGGAGGAAACCATAATCAGGGTGTGAGTAATAACTCACTTTTTGTTGATTTGGAAAATGGTTTTGAGATAATTATATAACCTTTTTGTTCTATACATTTGATTTTATTCTGTTTTTGAATGTTTTGAATGACTATGAGCTCTATTTCTTACAGCGTTTAGCAGTTGGTATTTTGGTTTCTGGTTTTGTGTTCAAGGATAGTGATTTTGTTAGTCCATGGGAGGCATTTGAAGATAACCTGGAGAGGTACATAATCCTTTCTTTTCGGAATATTAGATCAATCTTTTTCCTAAAGAAACCCATCAAGCAACATATTTTATATTATCATTTTATGCTGGATAACATGTATTTTTGTTTTATTCTTTAGGCTAATGGTGATCCTGTCAATTGCCGATTATGTTTGCATTGTGTGTGATGCAGAGGTGTTTGGACATAGCTTTATCATTTCTTATGTCCCTGGTGTTTATATATAAGCAAAATAAGGGATATAATGGGAAAATTATATGGCAGGATATCTCAGTTTAAAAAATGTATATAAAATTATGATGGAATATTTAATAATTATTAACTTTCAATGTGATAATTTTTTTAGAATAATACTTCCCCTATAGTTGGAGTGTACAGATAATTAAAATCCACCTTGCTTGCTGCAAAGATTAAATAAATGAAAGTCTTGAAGCCTTTAAAGCTATCCGCCAAATGTTCTAAGTTGGAGACATTTAGAATGATAATCTTCTTGAATAGAATTGCATTTTTGATGGAGTAACTCCAGTATCCCGAAAAATTTGCGCCCATGACAAAATATTTTTTTATTTTCCAGGTCAAATTTTCAGAAAGCAGATTATGATTGTAAGTAAGAAACCACTTAGAGATTTTAATCTCATTTTGTGAGGTCTTTAGATTTGAGATTTGAGGTTTTTCATAGGAGTACACTTTTGATTAAGGATAGCCGTTAAGGAGTTGATTACTCAACTTATAATAGCAACAATGATTTTAGATTATAGAAATTTTTGACCTTGAATTTAAGTGTAGATGGTGAGAAAATAATAATGAACCCCTATTCAAGATCCCATATTTTTGTTTTTCCAGATTGTTATGGTCCCTTATCTACTTAGTCAAAGGAGATACTCGACCTTACTTGATTGAATGATCATTGTCAATAATCATGAGTTGTTTTGTTCAAGAGAAATTTGTAGGTCTGGGATGAATGTTTTATCTAACTTGGCAATTTAAGTTAATCTTAGCTAATCAAATATACTATAATTCACATCTCATAGGGCACAAAGCCATTAAGTGCATACAAGCTATAATTGTGATCGTAATCTAGTGGAGTTTGTCTAGCCAAACCTCTTAGTCAATTGACTCTTATTGTAAATGCTATATTTGTGGAGTTGATTTGAAAAAATCACGCTGATAGAAGACATAAACCACACTATTATTGGTGTAGATTGATTTAAGAGTAAACATAATAATATAATTGATATGCATTATTTTCTTTAGATCCGAGGTTTGAGGTTTTTCATGGGAGAGCACTTTCGATTAAGGCTAGTTGTTAAGAAGCTTTTTACTCATTGTATAATAATAACAATTGATTTTAGATTGTAGAAATTTATCACCTTGAGTTTAAGCGTAGATGGTGAGAAATAATAACAAACCTCCAATCAAGATCCCGTATTTTCGTCTTCCTGGATTGTTATGGTCTCTTATCTACTTAGTTAAAGGAGATATTCGACCTTACTTGATTGAATGACCTTTCTCAATAACCATGAGTTGCTTTATTCAAGAGAAACTTGTAGGTCTGGATGAATGTTTTGTCTAAATTGGCTAATTTAAGTCAATCATAGCTAACAAAGGACTTTTCTCCCTATCAAATATAATATAATTCACATCTCTTAGGGCACAAATCCATTAAGGAACATATGGGCTATAATCGTGATCATAATGTAGTGGAATTTGTAGCCAAACCACCCTGTCAAATTGCTCTTATTATAAATGCTATATTTGTGGAGTTGATTGGACAAATCATGCTTATATCAGACTTAAACCATTCTATTATTGGTGTAGATTGATTTGAGAGTAAATATAATGATATAATTGATATGACATTATTTCCTTGTGAGCTCGGGTTTAAATTTATCATCCTCGACAAGTTAATATGATGGATGGATGAGATTTTATTTTTTTTAAGCTTTTAGGAATTAAATTTCATTTGAATATTTAGAATTCTAAATTTGAAAAAAATAATATTAAAATATTTTAGACATTTTAAAAATAAAAACTCCTTTGATTAAAATTCAATTTAAAGATGATCATTATTGGGGTTTTAAGTTGAAGTGCTTATATTTATAATTTGAGTTCTTCATTTCATTGGATGACCCCCATAGATTGAGATTTATAATTAACACATCATTGAAGAGTGGTGTTTGAAATATTTATATTTACAATTTGATTGAAACCCATTACTTGAATGTTTATAACTCTAATACGATACTTATAAGAAAGACGATGAGATTGATTTAGTAGCACTCAGCCTCTTCAACTCTAGTATTTGTTAGGAGACGAATCAAACTGACTAGGTATAACTTGACCTTGTCATATAGAGAAGGTAGCTTGCTCGAGAGTATACACATTAAATAATGTTGAATTTGACTTTTGAAAATAGAGATTTTGTAAAAATTAGGATACTTGCGCTCTTCTTGAATGGATCACATTTTATTTTAAATTTATATTCAACTCATGTGGTATTCACAAACCTTTTTTAATTTGTTCAACATATTTGTCAGAGTACAAGCGATTATTTTAAGTTAGTAGATTTAATTATTTGAAAAAAAATTAGCATGCTTTCAAAGCAAATTAAATATAAAGTTCATGACGTGGGAGCATCTCACAGGCATCCTGCGATCCCTTCACGGGATTTTAATGACTTTTTCGCTAGGTTTCTGTTGTCTCTAGTTCTTGTGACTCGCGGTTCTGACTGTCACAGGAAAACTGATCCAAACAAAGTTTTATTTTTATTTTCTTTCTATTTTTTAGCAAGTTTCCTTTTTTCATTTCTATTTTTTCCAGTTCTTTCTCATTTCCTTAGTTTCTAATTAGGTATTTTCTATTAAGGGACTTTTATATATGTGTATTTGACTGTTTAGATTTCAATTTTCTTATTTCCCTTAGTGGCACACCTAAAATCAGAGATAAACAAAAAACTGGTTAGCATTCAACACACAACAATTAGAAATAAGATGGAAGTATAGGATATACTAGGTAAGTAGGAAAATACCCAAATGATTAGAGGAGGGTGGAAAGAAAAAGACAGGAATTTGAAATGCAGCCCAAGTAAGAAGGGATGAATTAGGAAGGGGAGAAATTAGAGTAGGAGATGATGAGGGGCAGAAGTGGTCCTGGCCGGTCCGGTCTAGCAGGAAGGCTGGCCAGTCATATGCTTGCACTAGCCCGAACCTTAGATCCCCGTGTCACTGGTACTCTTCTCCATTCTCTTTCCATGATTTTTCATTTTCTGCCTCCCCCACGACACCTTGCTTGGTGATAGATGTCATTCTCTTATTTGGGCAATCTAATATAATGTGCCCGAACCAATAACATTTGTAGCACTTCCTGACTGGGATGGATTTGGGAGTGCTACCAGGCTCCATTTTTTCTCTAGTTTGGATTGACTTCTTGGGTACTGTCGGCTTGGGTGCTTCATTGGGTGTACAGTTGCTGCTTGATCTTAGCGTCGAACTCTGGCTGTAAGACGTGTCAATCCTCTAGTTATGCTGTTGTTTCTCCACCATCAAATCTAGGGTGTGTACATCTAATAAAGACCGATATGGCTACAAATTCACCAAATAACTAATAGACGACATCAATCCTTCAAAAATACCTCACTATTTTGTGGTCCCCTGGCTCTACCAATTCACATTTCAGTATAAGTTGATCAAATTTAGCAGTGTACTACATAAAAATATCTCTCTGGCTCAGTTGCAGAGCTTTATGAACATATCTTATCGGTAATGTGGTGGAAAGTATTTGCACTGCATCTCACTTTTCAACTTGGACTATGTGGTGATTTTACTCTTCCCTTCTTGCTGCTGATACACATTAGATTCCCCCATCACAAGCATTTTTTTTTAGCTTGAAGGCTGTCAATTTAACTCTCGTCTTGAGAAATTTCCTTGTACTCAAAATTTTGCTTTGTTGTTTGAAGCCACTCGATAAATTCATTTTTGATCCATGAAATCATTGAAATTCGATAAATACACATTCACTAGAAGATCCTAACTCTGATATTCCATGCCGAATTGTTGAGGTAGTATTTCTTCGTTACTGAAAATTATTTGATGGAAGGTATTCACTTCCTCCTTTCGATCTGACGAGTCATTGTTGTGGCCATGGGTGACCTTACTAGTTTGTCTTCTTTAAAAGGCGACAAGTTTCTATTGTATTTGAAGGATTTTCTGTTGTATGTCTTCCATAGTAAGTTCTTGGGCATCTCTTTGGTTATTTCTCCTAGGTGACTTTGTGTTTTTTATCTCACGATTAGGCTTTTGGTAGATGTGGGATTGGAAATCAAATATTTGTTTTTGGGGGGGGGAGGAGGATGGGAGGGAAATTTTTTTTGTAATTTTTTATTTACGATAGAAAATACAAATCCCTGAATGTTGAGGGTTTGTTGGGGCAATATCAGATCATACCTAGGTTTCCTAGAAGGTATTCAGGAAGTTAATTTAGCAAGGATATGGTTGTGGAATGGCAAGGGAAACTAATAGGCGATTTCGGCGGCGTTTGGAAGGGAATAAGCGTTGTTCGACTGCTGTCTTGGCTGAAAACAAAGTTCAACCTTGAATGGGCAAGAAATGGACTTTGAGGGGATCCATTACCTGTTCTTGGGGAAGCTAGAAACACAACATTTGCGATAGAAGAGGGTACGCCACTCTGAAGAGCATAAATTAGAGAAGAAGTGGTATCGGAGAAAACAAAACCCAAACCACAACAACAATTTTTATTATTAGGGAAATAAGGTTATACCACACATAAACTGAAATAACATCAATAGCACATAAAACAACACAACAAACATCTCGATAGTGCATCACAAGGGCGGTGAAGTTGCTAGTTGGATTGGGATGACTAGCAGGGGTATCAGCAACAAAAGTGGGGTCAAAAAACTGCAGGAACAGTTAGACGGTTGGTTGTCTTGTGCAGCTACAACTTGAAATTATGGCAGAAACAATAGGAGCAACAAATGTTAGCTGTCTTGAGGCTGCGACAGCAAAGATGGGTGGGTCGGCAATGATGTGGCAAAGATGCGGGCTATTTGGGGGTAGCAGGAAGGTGCTGGACAGCAAGACAGACTGTTGGAAACAGGAACAAGGAAATAAAATCACCACCGGGGAGAGAGATATAGTTGGAGCACCACCCTAATCGTCAGATACAACCCTCAAGGGGGAAGAAGAATCTACATAGGAAATCTGAAAGAAGATACACAAAAACTTCCAAAACCTAGGACAGCCAACATACATATAAATACGAGAGATAAAATAGGAAGGAGTTGCCTCATGGCAAGGTTCAAATAGGAAGAGGAGGGAAGCTTTCCAAGGCCTCAAAATAGGAAGAGGAGGGATGGGATTGGCACGGGCTCGGGTGATGAATCAATCTCTAACGAACAGGAGTTGAGACCAGTTCAACCGACCTCTGTCCAGGCCGGTCCAACTGGCCTAACTGCTGGCTGGTTCAGCCACAACTGGATGCGGGAGTTACCGCATCAGTAGCGGGAAAAGCCTAGATGCCTCGTGTTAAGAAGTCTCTTAACATCATAAAATCAACAAAACTAAAGTCTCGAAACAGCCCAACAACACATAAATAGACTTCTAATAGAAATAGGCCTAATTAGAAATAAAGAAATAGGAAAATAATATGAATTATGAAGCAAAAATAGAAGTAGGAAATAATTAAAAATGGCAAGATGGTTGTAGAAATCTCAAACCGGTTAGGAACTTGCCCATTCGGTTATCCTGGATTGCGGGAGCTCCGTTTCCGCCGGTATTGCGGAAATCCTGCTATCGGGATTGCAGGTTCCGCAACTCCTTGCTTGCTCCGGTATGAATAAGAGGGTCGAATGTGTCTTCAAACATTCCATAATCCACAATTTTTTTTTGAATGCCACTTCTCTAATCATGTACAAAACTAAATATTTTTTTTTTCCAATGTTCATTAATTTTCATTTGATTTGAGGGTGATCTGGAAGCAATGGTTAGACTGTCTCCATTGCAATGTGAAGTTTGCGGGCTTCATTTATGAAAACGTTCTTTCAATAATGCAGAGGTGAAGCTGCACACATCAATGCCTCCCTATATTAATATTTATTGTAAGCTCAGGCACTGAGCTGATATTTTTCATTTCATTCTTATTGAGAAAAAGTTTGTATGTGCATAATCGCTAACCCATCGTTTCAAGGCTTCCATTTATCCAGTTTTCCCTGCTTGGGAATATTTAATACGCAGCATTTTGATACATACCACACAATTTATGTGTATTTACATATCTAACACTTAAAGTTTACTTTTTATATTTACAACACCCAAATTATTTATATAATACAAAATACAATCATTTTAACTTTTAAAACGTGAAATATACCTTTTCATGCATAGGTAAGGTGGCATGTATGTAAAAATTGAAGTTTTGTTGTTACATATGTAAAGGCATAGGAATTGAGTGGAATGCATGTAAATTTTCCTTATAATATTCATATGCCATGTACGTTATGCTAGTTGGTTCTGCTTCAGATGCTATGCTGTTAAGTTTGATTTTAATCACGCTACATTGATGTCAACAGGTATGCTCTTCAATGGGAGTCCAAGAATCTGATTGCTGTCAGCACTGCCATTCAGGATTGGCTTACTTCAAGTAAACTGCCTGACATATTTACTTTAAATGTTCAGTTTCGCTACTTCTAATTGCATCGTTGCAATGCCATTTCTGTGTCTTTTTACGCAGCCTTGACAAGGGAGCTGATGAAGCGGGGTGCCATGTTGACAGTTCTTAATTCACTTGTTATTGCCTTGGCATGGCCAGCTGCATTACTTTCAGCTACCGATTTCATCGATAGCAAATGGACAATTGCTATTGATAGGTGCGATAACAGCTCCTTTATGATTAGAGTTCACCTTTGGCTTTAATTTTTTTTTGATATGAAGACATGCTGGCTCGCTCTGTTATGTTGACGTTTTTATTTGTGAGTGGTATTTAGCAATACCGTACCTGCGCGCACACACGCGCACACACATTAAACTTCCCCTTTTCTATAGTATACTACAGCTTGGCAATGTTTTTGCATTTTCTCTTGGGGACTGGAGTTTGTGGGTTCATCCTTCCAGTTAACAAGAAATTTTTTGCATAAACGGTGGTTGATTAGTGTCAATTTTTCCCAGATCAGACAAGGCAGGAAAGCTTCTTGCCGAGACTTTGATGAAGGGGCTACAAGGAAATAGGCCCGTGACACTTATTGGTTTTTCTTTAGGAGCAAGGGTTATATTTAAGTGCTTACAACAGCTTGCTGAATCTGGAGAAAATGGTAATTTTTTACATTTCTTAATCTCAATCATTTATACTGTTTAAATGTACAATAACGAAGCAAGAAAAAAAAATCTGTATTTTATGCATCAGAAGGACTTATAGAAAGAGTCGTTCTCCTTGGGGCGCCGATCAAGCTCAATGATGAAGAATGGGCTGCTGCGAGAAAGGTATCAATAGGTTTTTGGTTTACTTTTTCATCTTGGTCCTCTACCCATCTATTCAAGCATACGTGGAAACAACATTAGTATATTTACAACATATTATGTAAATAATTTGATGGACGATATGCTCAAATCACTTTGTATGATGTCCATGAGAAGATAATTGTGCTTGAAACTTGAAACTTACTAGTCAACATAAAATTAAAATTGATTCACTTCAACTCAAGGCATGCTTGCTCAAAATTAGTTCAATTCAGCTAAAATTCAGCTCAATGTTTATTTATATGTACATTTATTACTCATAGGGGGAGAATTACTATTATACAACTAAGTAGATTTCGACAGAGCACATAATCTGAAGGGTCCGAAGTTCTCTTAAACGTGTCCATTTTATTCATAAAATTTTCCACCCATTCCAAATTGCTCAACTTATCAAATTTGAATCAATTTTATCCTCCTATCAAATTCCTTAGATGAAAATTTGTGGAAGGAAGCTTTCTATTATGGTATTTTGGACTTTTTTTTCATCAATTTTTTGATACTTGCAGATTGAAATTTAGAAAATAGTGTTTTTTAGCATAACTTAATGGTCTTAAATAAACTCAAAACTTCACCCAAGATCAATCATTTTTGAGTTGACTAAAACTTGAGTTGAGCCGAATTAGAAGTGTTCGAACCTGAATTAGAGCTGGCTGCCCAAACATTAGTCATCATCGCTTTTCAAAATTTTGAAATTGAAGCTTCTTCAAATTTGGTTTTGATAACATAGTTTGAAATCTTTTCCTCTTCAGTTATTACCTGAATGACCAAGTGTTCTAATCACTTTCCTCGTGATAATAGCATCCAAGCGCTTCCTTAATTTGTGATTTAGAACAACATTAAGTTCTTTCATAAGGTAATTAATTGGTAAATTTATTTAAATTTACCCCCAAATTAAAATATCCGAAAAAAATTGTCATCCAGCTATCTTTACAGCTCACAAAGGAAAAAACACAACTGATAAATGTATTGCATTGGTTTTTGTACAGTACAATGAGTGCCGCAAATCTCTCTTCATTTGCTTAAATCAAGCATAATATATTATTTTGTTGCTATAGGTGAAGCCTAGTAACTTATAACTTCTATTCCTCATTCAATTAGAATTAAACTAGTGTTTATATGGTAAACTTGTCTAAGCCTTCTTTTTTGATTGCACCAAAGTTTCACCTTAGAACTATTATGTAGGAAACACGTGCTTGATATTGTTATACTATTCATTTAGTCTAGTGGATTGCTAGATTTATTTTCACTATTATTTTTCAGATGGTTGCTGGGAGATTCATAAATGTATATTCCACAAATGACTGGATCCTTGGAGTGACTTTTCGTGCCAGGTATTCTTCAATTTAATTACAACTACACAACACTTTTCACCAAAATGAAAAATTTATAGGGTGCATTGATGATTCCCATTTTTCTATTGTGCAGTCTAATCACCCAAGGTTTGGCTGGTATTCAAGCCGTTGTCGTGCCTGGAATTGAGAATGTAATCTCATTATTCTTATATCATTATATACTTTGTTGTACTATATGCTATTTTTCTCAATATTCAAGCTGAATGATTCGCATTGCTTGTTATATCAGGTAGATGTTACTGAAATAATTGATGGTCATTCTTCATATTTGTCTGCCGTCCCCAAAATCCTTGAGCAGCTTGAACTTGATACCTGTTATGGCGTTTTTTCCTATCCTCCCCAGCTTTCTGATTAGCAATAGAGTCAAGAATTGTTTGTCTTCTGTGCCCGTTTTTTCAGTTCAAGTTTGCTACTGCTGGCATATTTATTCATTTTGATTACTAACTGTACATAACCTTTTAATATAATTTCCGTCGGGTAAGTGAAATTTTCATCTTCTTATATTTTATGGGTCTATGTCGGTCGAGGACTTCAATTTCTTATATAGGTGATTGTAAAATTGTCGTGGGAAAGTAATTTGTTAAAAAATTGTTGAGCATTGTAATATTTTTTTTTTCAAAAAGTTGGACAACAGCTTTCTTATAACTTGTCATGCATTAACGAATTTGATTGTTAAAAGCAGCTTCCCAGCATAGAAACATATGAAACAAATAAGAAAGCAATTAGCTAAACAGGAATAGGAAATCTGCTCTAAAAAGATAATATTTTAAATTGTTGAGAGATGTATTTCTTCATGTTGGTTTGTCCTCTGATAGTTGTTAGTAGTTAGTGTTTGTTATGTTGATTTCCTCGAGTTTTATTTACAACTACGTGCAATGTTGTTAGAAAAAAACAAGCCTGAATTAAAAGAAAACAGAAACAGCAGTCTGCAAGCTTTGTATTATTTACTAGAACACTAACGAAGGACGAGGGGGAGCAGCAGAGCTTCAGTTTGTTTTAATGATGTTTAGTTTAAAATGTCTTTTTATGGTGAGGTTTATTTTGTTTGCTTGTTAGACTAAGCATCTGTAATTTTTTTTTTTATATTTTTGAAAATAAAATAATAATTAAGCAAATTATTAAAAAGGCACTTATTTTTTTTTAATGTTTATTGATAAACAGAGAAATACAGAGAGTAATTGAATGTAGAAGTATCAAACCCAATGGAGAAGATTCATACCTGAGCTCTGAGTGTTGTTATTCTAAATTTCATCAACTAAAACATACATGCTTTTCATCCTATATATTACAGAGGAGAAGATGATTATATAATATATAAAATATGTTGTTGCCACCTGAAGTTGGTTAGGATTCCAAATATTCTTCCTGAAGGGTGTGAGTGGTAGTGTAGTCCTCCAATGCTCCATTACTACTAAGTGATGATGGTTAAAACTCGCTTTCAAGCTGAGGAGTCTTGCCGATAACTTGAAGCTCAGATTTGAGGGGATTGAACCGTTGCTTGTGCAGGGACTTGGTGAAGATGTGTGCCGGCTGATCTTGGGTATGAATGTAATGTTGTTGGAGAGTGTCGGCCTGAAGATGTTCTTGAATGAAGTGATAACCAATCTCGATATGTTTGGTGCGTGCATGGAATGCTTGATTGTTTGCAATGCGCATTGCGGAGACATCACAAAACAGATTGGATTGAGACTTTTGGGCAACTCCCAATTCATTCAATAGCATCTGAGCCATATAAGATCAATTGAGAGGTTGTTAATGCCCGATATTCGGCTTTAGTTAATAAGCATGCAACAGTTTGTTTCTTGATGATTCATGAGATAGGCGTATTACCCAAAAGTGTGCAGAAACCGGTAATTGATTTCCTATATGATGAGTCGCCGACCCAATCAGCATCAGAGTATGTTTGAACGATGGGTGGAGCGCAAGAGATGCGAAGAACAAAATCCATTGTGCCCTTTAATTACCGTAAGAGACGTTTGAGAAGTTGATTGTGATATGACATCGGCTGATGCATTTGTTGGCATAGAAAATTGACGGCAAAAGCAATGACCTGTCTAGTAATTTTAAAGTACTGAAGGACACCTGTAATGTCTGTATTCGGTGTGGTTAGCGAGGGGTTCATCAAGGCAGAGTTATCATACCTCTTAGATAGTAGCGGAGTGGAGACTGGGTTGGAATTAAGCATGGATGTATGTTGGAGGATCTTCAGTAAGTATTGCTGTTGATGTAGCATCGTGCACTCATTAGAGTGTTTCAGCTGGATGTTGGGAAACTTAGAGACTTCATCTATATGTTTATTTGGAAGCTGGTAATGAGTTGCTTGGTAAGAGAGGTCATGGCAGTTGTATTGTTGTTGATGATGATCAAGTTGTCAACGTAAATGAGGACAAAGATAAGCTCAGTGGGGGTCGAATAAAGCTGTAAGGAGGGGTCAGATTTGGTAATGTGGAATCCACGTTGTATAAAGAAAGTAGAGAGAGTGACAAACCATTCATGGGGTGATTGTTTCAAGTTGTATAGCGCTTTCTTGAGGATACATACATGATCGAAAAACTGAGGGTCTTTGTAGCCAAAGGGTTGCTGCATATACACAATGTCTTGAAGATGTACAAGTAAAAATGTGTTCACGACATCGATCAAGTTGGAATAGAGGCCAATTGTTGTTGAAGTCCAGGGTAAATATGGTGCAAAGTATGGCCATCTTAGCAACCATGCTAAAGGTCTCATAATAGTTAATATCAAATTCTTGTTTATAGCTCTGTGCAACCATGCGGGCTTTGTAGCGAGCAATCGTTCCATCGGGGTTATATTTGGTGGAGTAAGTCCAATGACAACCAAGAATAATATGGTTTGGAGGTGGGGGAACCAATTTCCATGTAGCTCGAGAGTGAAGTGATCCCGATTCTCTTTATATATGTCAAATGCGATGTATGCGATTCTATTCTTAATTTCCTTAATTATACTTCTTACTTTGCAACGACACCAAAAACTTGATCCTGAGCAAAACTAGGCAAAATCTTGACTTCTAAGCAAATAAGAATATATTTATAATATTTAAATATGGGATACTACTTAAGTATACATATCATTATTAAGTAATATAGGACTTTTTGATTAAGGCCCAAATATCGAACCCACAAGAAAAATTACAATATACACTTTACAAAATAGGAGAAATTAGATAACAAAGTTCTACTTAGCAAAATATTTTTATTTAAACTCTAGATGCTATAATAAGAACGAAAGTTCAATTTTTTTTTGTAATTTTATATTTTCAAGATGAAGGCAATATAAATAAAATATTTTTTTTT